TTCAATCATATTATTCTAACATGTTTATTATCAAGCGTTACGTCAGTGTGTCATTTTTCAAATATGCACCCATACTATTTGTAACTGATTTTCAATCATATTATTCTAACATGTTTATTATCAAGCGTTACGTCAGTGTGACATTTTTCAAATATGCACTCATACTATTTGTAACTGATTTTCAATCATATTATTCTAACATGTTTATTATCAAGCGTTACGTCAGTGTGACATTTTTCAGATATGCACCCATACTATTTGTAACTGATGTTCAATCATAAAAAGGTAATTTTCATTTAAAAATGACGCGAGTAAAATCGTCAGTGGCTCTCCGACTGTAAATGCATAAACATCCACTCATCTAACAATAACATTCGTCTGTGCAGCATCGAACCTCGTCACGTGCGTAGAGATCGCCCATGAACCCGCGACAAAAAGACACGAAGAGACGACGGGGCAACGAACGTGAATTCATTTCCCATCCGGGAAATTAATTTCGCCATATCGGAAAGGTGCGGTGCGCGTGTGTTCGTGGTCGAACACGCGCAAACCGCTGCTGCGACGCGAGGACGTGTCGGTGGGAGCGCGAGAATGTACCAATTCACCGTTAACTGTGGCCTTAGGGCTTCCGTGTTTCAATCTCAGGCGCGGAGAACCGGGCGGATGCGCATCTCCGCGCGAAGATTAAGGCACGTACACATCGCGGGGCCCTCGGCCCCAGGAGTGCAGTTCCTCACCGGGAGACGCGACGCTCCGCGGGGAAATACCGAACGGACGAACGATTTCGCCGAATCGCCGCGTTTTTCCTCTTGCCGCAGTTTCCTCCTTCCACGCTTCCTTTCGGTTCTACGGACAGATTCGTCGGTGGACGTCCGACGGAGCTCGTTTTGATTCGAACCGATGCCGGTGGGAATTGGATAGGACGTATTTGCGAATAAACCTGAACCACGCCTAACGAGGAACTCGTATAACGTGGAATTCAGATGTTGCGGTAGTCTCATAACGCGATCCGGACGGAGGGAGGTGCATGAGCTCCACGGTGAACTTTCTGGTCAAATTATTCGGAATATTCACTGTAGAATTGATAATGGCGTGACAAAGTTTAGGCATCTTTCGTTTAATATAGAGTTTGTTATGGAAAAGTTGAAGTACATACTGATAATACATAGAAAGAAAAGGACAAAAACGCAACGCATCGCAAAAAGGAACAATGGAGCAACATATTGTAGCATAGAGAGATCCTACTGCCAACATTGCGATAGACTTCACTGGCGATAGACTTGACCAGAAAGAGAGGAACCGAAAGGAAAAATCCTTACAGCTGTTCGAGACTAGAGTTAGAACACCAAATACTTGCCTCGATGAAATATAAAAATGGAGAGGTCGGCTATGTCAGTCTTGTTTAACCCGTTTACTATCCTTCGAGAGTTCTACTTGGCTAAAGCTTAGATAAGTACGGCTTTGGAAGGGTATTTCTTGCACGGAACCCAGGTGACACGCCAGTCAAAATGTTTCAGTGTTTTCATAACGACCCAGGTATTTTACTTTAAAGTGGGCCGAGGGTGTGCAGAAGAGAAAAGAGAGGGACAAAGAGGAGAAACTGGAGGGAACGAGTAGAAACGAGAGAGCGATCGAAAGTAGTAGATGTCAGCAATGCACAGACTCGATGAGAAAGAAAAATTGTACTTATAACAGCGGCGCAACTTTCTCGCCGGAAGTGATGCATCGAAGGGGATCTTGTTCGGAGAACATTTCGAGATAAAGAAAACTTTACGGTATATAATTATGTTTCCCGGTATAGAAAGTTCCGTTAAAGTATCCTCCGAACTTCGACGCAGACAGCACGTATGTATCTACTCCCGTGTTTCGTGGTTAAGTTTCTATAATCAGTTTCCTAACTCCGTGGCATCAGGAGAAAAGTCAACAGCATTTCACAGACTCGTACGAAACTTCTCCACGGCCCAGGCGTAATAAAGATTCAAAATTTAATACGCTTCATGCTCGTCCAGCGATAAGTCTTCGTTTTCAAAATGACGTAGCTTCGAGCTTGTTAATTTGGAAATGTGAATCTGTTCATTAGTCTTCATGAGTAAATATGCAATGGGGTTTTCAATAAGAACGACAGTTTACAGCGCACGGTGCTTCGAGTGGAACGAAATTTTTGACATAATATTCAAGTTTTTGACCCAAACGTTGGGGTAAAAAAAAAAAACGAATGAACGTCGTTTAAAATTCTTTCGATATTGTAAAAAGGATTTCATATTTGGATCAGAGAGGATCTACTTGGAGAATATCAGAGGATTCTTTATGGATTTTTTGGGACGTTGAAGGAACATTTTTAAATTCCATACTCACTTTGCAACCCTCGCAGCTGGTTACGCCGTAATGATAACCGCTCGCTTTGTCACCGCAAACTCTACAGGCCACGAAACTCTTCGCGGGCGTCGAACTGTTCGAATCGGCGGCCGCGTAGTGTTGTTCTGGAAAACAAAACAGGCAGCTACGTTACGTAACGTGATCGACATCCGTAGAACTGGGTAAACGTTGCGCTGAAACACTCCCAGCCTCTTCACTCGAGCAACATACCCACATGGAAACTCTTAACATAGCGATCCCGGAACGAAAACACTTCTTCCTTTCGAGGACCGAAGTTAACAGTTATTCAAAAAATTTCTGTGCAAAAGATCATCGAGATAGATGATCGAGACAGATAATATTAAAACAGAAAAGTACACATGATTGAAAGAATATCGATTTTTGAACGTTTTGCTGAGAAATAATAATTATAAAGAGATGAAAGAGTGATTAAAGTAATGTAAGATATATTAAAGATTATGAAGTGTTTTCGTTGCCGATAACCATTAGCGACGAGGGAAATTCAATATCTGTCGCTCGTAATAGTTATCGATGAGAGCATTTTTCTTCGAGCTTTCGTAATAGTTATCGAGCAGAGAACGTCTGGTGCAGTCGTTTATAATAATTACTTGATGAGAAGAATTTATTTCGATTGCCCGTAGCAATTATTCATAAGAGAAATTGTATTTCTGTCGCTCGTGATAGATAAATCATCGTAAATTACAAGCGTAAAATTTCGAAAAATGACAAAAGTAAATATTGCCGAGGCACAGCAGGATTCCTTGTTACACTCTTTTCATGGAAAAAAATTATTTTTCCCTCGCACTAATCGTTCTTAAAACGTACACCGTGTTCTACGAAGGCACCCATAGATTCTACAGACCACCGCCTGGTCCACACGCGATCTTTCCCTCTAATCTAACAGTGGCGGATGAGATCACAGCTCAACGAGGCCTTCCTTCCCTCTAACAACCAAAAAACACCCAATGGCGTGCGCGGAGGTAACGGCACCGCCGATGAAAACGGTCACGTGTAGACGAAGCAGCAAGAAAGAGGATCGAGAAAAAGATTGGTCGCGAGGAGTATCCAAATAGAGAGGACGGCGCAGGACAACGGTAAAGGACCCTTTTCACGTGATGCGAAGTCACGATGTTTTAATTGAATCGTAGAATTACGAAACGATCTACCACAGTTTTTCTATGTAAATCGTTTTGGTACTCCATTATTTTCTAAATAAATATGTTATTATATTATTTATATTACATGTAAAGCATTTTCCAATATGGCACTGCAAAGGCAAATGCAACCAATATATCCGATTTTGCAATTTTAAATACATATATTATAGGTACATATGATTATAGGTGGACGTGAAAGACGACGTCCTTTAACACGTTCACTGCCGGACTATTCTTGATATAGTATTCTTGAAAATTTCTACTGTGATTAAGGTTTGCTTCCAGACTATTAGAACCTACATAGTCAAACATTTATTGTTGTATTTATTTTTATAGCTTGATTGAAGTTTAAGAATTTCGTTCAAATTGATTGAAGAGTATACATTTATCAGAGTATACATGATATTATTTTTCACTATTTTGAAAGACACATTTTGAATTATGATAAATATTTATCGAATTACATTTGAAGGGTATACATGTTATTATTTTTCACTATTTTGAAAGACACATTTGAATTTTGATAAATAATTATTCAATTCCATAGGCACCATTTTGTTCCATAAACTTCCCACCTTTTAAGGGATGCATACATGTTACTCGTTTTCAGCCATTCCGATATATTCAGACCCGAACCACCTACCAAAAATCAACATTGACTTTCCAGACAACCCAATACTTTCTACATAGATAAATAATAATTAATTCCCTTACTTCCTACACGAATGATCCTATCCTAAGCCTGTCCTAATCCTACCCGCCAAAGTCGCGTCAGTTGCGCTCGCTGATAAACCCTGTGACGCGGTCCGCCCATCAACGTTGTCACGGCGAGATCGTGACCAATGTCACGAGCTCGGGAGTCGTGACAGCGAGTCACGTGAAAACGGACCTTAAGAGGTTCGAAGGAACGGGGAGTATCGCGGAAAGCCGAGGGGAAAGGTGGCGCGGTTCCCTTGGGTGGCGAGGGACACGTTCGGTCGTGGCGGCTTCTTTCATTCGTCCGCGGGCAACCCGTTGCATCCATAATGCAACAACGTACGAGAACACGGAGCAGCCGAGGAAGGGAAAAGGCTGGAACAGCGTTAGCACACGGTGGTTCGTGTAACGGAAAGGCTCGCGTCACCGTTACGGAACCACGGCCAGGGAAGAAAGCGGGAGGAAGATGGCTGCGAAGCGAAGAGCAGCATCGGCAGGAGCAGTGGCGGTAGGTACGAGGGACGGAAAGAAAAAGGAAGAGGAAAAAGGTGAAACGGGGCCGCCCGCAAAGGGAGAGCTGAGGGAACCGTATAGGAGTAGTCTGCAACATTATATATACCGTTGGACTCTCGTGAAACCCCTGCCAGAAGACGTCGTTACGTGTGGCGCGGGTTAGACGGAGAAAACGGTGACGCGTGGAAATGAGACGAGACGAAGAAGGTGTACCAGCGACCATGGGAAGGATAGACCAGCCGGAGAGGAAAAGAGAACACGACGAGGAAGACAGAGTGCGGTTGATTGCAGTGTCTGGAAACGGGGTCCCATCTTCGGACTACGTTGACGATGCGATTTTATAGGGTGTATCACGGCTAACTCTCTTCGGTGGTTTATTATCATATTTGGGGGACAATGGAAAATGCGTAATATGTATTTGTCCTTTCTCAAGTTACAGCCATTTTGGTGCTCCGTTCTTAAGCGGGGAGTCCTCTAGCAGGTCTTAAAAATCGACTTTTTTTTTCTTAGAAATCTTCTTAATCGTGTGAAGAATGCTTTCGCAAAGGTTTGGGATCAAATTAGATCTCGAAATATAGTTAGGAACGCACAGTGAGGCGCCCTTGTATAAATATTAGACACTGGGCCAAAAAATGAATATCCAAATTTTAAAACCTAAACAGATTTCAATGAATCTTCAAACCTTTGATAATTATGTTTCACAGTATTTACTTCACTGTTTACTTCATGGCATCTGAAATTAGTTACGCCGATCTATTAGGTTGTCCCAAAAGTTTCTTCCATTTCATTAGTAAGTAATACGTACACAATATTTCATGTCTAATGTTACATTATTAAATTGCGTACGATTCATTTTGCTCCGTTACTGTTATACAATATTAACATCTAATAAATTAGGTTGTCTATTTTTATAAACACTGCCACGCAAAATAACTGAGTGCAAGTCTCGGAAGAAACTTTTGGGACAACCTAATTTCTCTTCTACCTAAAACCTCTTCTTTTCAGAAAAATAGAAAGTATTATCGTTTCTAAACAGCCATCTTGGAATATTAAATTTCAATAAATCCAGTAGCTCAGGACATTCAATTCTTGGGTTAATAACTTCAGCTCGAAGACGAGGAGACGAAGAAGTGCGGTTGATTGCAGCGTCTCGAAGCGAGTCCAGATCTTACGACCGCAACTTCGTCGATGTGATTTTACGACTCCCGGTAACATACTCGGGACGAACGGTACTCCGCGCCGAAGACAGCGACGAAGACGTGCTGCGGACGTCCAGCTACCCCGTTACGTCCCTTCTTCGCGAACCGATCTTTTTCTCTCTTTCCTTTTCCAGCCGTGCCAGCGCCGGAAACGCGTTCGCACGATAAGAATAAGCGGGGAAGTGGCTGCTTCTTTTCTGGTTTTTCCCAGCTTCGAGCCACCGCGCGACGTTTCCAGGATCGTTCAAGATTTCCGCGTCGTTTCTATACCCCGACAAGAAACTCGGCAGTAAACCGTGTGTACTCCGACGAACTGAATTCCTCGCTTCGGGCTGCGTCTGTGCTCGCTCCTTCCCCTCAGACCGTGGATTTATCACGAAGTCTCCAGCGATTTTTATGTATCTTCGTTCCTGTTTGCTGCTAGATTTATTTTCGCAGCGACTCCGCCGATTGGATGGGGCGAGAGCCAACTGGAGGATCGTGTCGTTTCGCAGGGGGCCGACTAGATTGTATAACGCTAGGTTTACGGAGATTTCTTCACAGATTTCTGTTATCGAATTAGTGCTTCAATAAGCTATGTAACCAAAATTAATTAGGAAGCTTGAAAACAAAATTAATATGGATGTATGCTTGTCTATTTATACGGATAAACGGTTTCTGTGAAACCTTGTGATATTTTTGAATTAGTTTAAACCGATGTCATTATACCTCTACAAATATCTCCGTTTAACATATGAATATTCTGCATTAATTTCAACCTATGTTTAAATAATTCCATCTAAATTAAGATCGTCCTACATTAATCTGTACATAGACAATTACGATCGTTTTGATGTAACTGATATCAATTGACATTAAACGTTATTAAAGTAAATGGAATTGTTTATATACAGACCGAAATTAATATAGAATATTATTGGGTTAATTGGAATCAGTATATATCCGAGTAATAATTACATTCAATCTAATAATACTTTATATTAATTTCAACCCTCATACAAATTTATAATTCCACGTGACCCAGCTCTACCTTTCATTAAATGGATTAAAGCCGACCTAGGCCACTAGCCAGGAGATGAATCATCTCTATTCTCTACAGTAGTTAAAGAAAAAAAGAATTCCTACAGGCTTCGAGAAAGATGAGAAATTTAGGGGTGTCCTATCCATTTTGTCCCTCCACACAGGACCAACCTTCGTCGACGAATCCGTTTCTGTCGAAGTACAATCAATCCTGCGCAGTTTTACCCCGCGTACCTTGTCCCTCGCGTTCTCCATCCAGCTTCCCATCGAAATGCAAATCGTCGCGCAGTTTCCTCGGCTTCGTTTGGCGTCGCGGCGCACTTTCACGCGCGACGATTGCCCGCCGGGTTCGCGCCGCGGCCATAAATCTTTTAGAGTCCGCCCGTATATTCTATTCGTAATCATACAGTGGTTAACATTTCACTTTGGTTCGCGTCGGTTGATATTCCGCGGAACAGAGCCACAGTTTCTATTTCTGCTTATAAATTCCGCTCGACCGAAGCGAACTTTCTCCTCGCG